CTGGAGCATTGGTCAAACCAAAGGGCATTACCGTAAACTCATAATGACCATAACGAGTACGGAACGCAGTCTTTGGGATGTCCTCTTTCTTTACAGGGATTTGATGGTATCCTGACCGTAAGTCAATCTTAGAGAATACAGTAGATCCTCTAAGCTGATCAAATAAGTCATCGATACGAGGTAAAGGATATCGATTTTTGATTGTGACTTTGTTCAATTGACGGTAATCGATGCAGAGTCTCATCGAGCCGTCTTTCTTTTTAACAAACAGGACGGGTTCTCCCCAAGGAGAAACACTCGGACGTATGAATCCTTTATCGAGTAATTCTTGTAGTTGAGCCTTCAACTCTTTCATTTCAGCGGGAGCCATGCGATAGGGAGTTGCAGATATCGGTCCTGTTCCAGGAACAAGATCGATGGAAAATTCTACTTCTCTGGAAGATAGTATACCAGGAAGTTCGTCAGGAAGTACGTCAGAAAAACCACATACTGTCAGTATGTCTTTCAACTCAGGAGTTTCTTTTCGTGTGTCACGTACGTTACACAGATAAGCTTCACATTTCTTTCGAATGAGACGCCTAGCGTGTATGTACGAGATGAATTCAGTGGATCTAGGTGTTAGATTCTCTTTCACCTTTATAGACTTTCCCTCTCCAGACTTTAGTTGAATCGTTCCTTGTCGGCAATCGATAATTGCTTGATGTTCGGTGAGCCAATCCATTCCTAGGATGATGTCAAATTCTTTGTACGGTAATTCGACAAGATTGGCAGAGAACTGATGTCCTTCAACAATCAATGGACAGTCTTGATACACATGATTTAACCTCATACTATGTCCTAACGGGTTAGACACTAGTATAGGTTGTTCTAAGTTTTCTTTCATTATGTCAGCCTTGTCAGGCATAGGCACGTAGATATAAGATAACGTTGATCCAGGGTCTATCAACACATGCATGACAGAATCAAATAAGGAAAACATACCCTGAATGACGTCAGGGTTTTCCTCAGCTCGTGCCTTCATTGCATAAGTACGAGCAGGAGCTCGTCCCTGTTGCTGACTCTGGTTCTTGGCCGGATTAGATCCTGCCGTTGATCGTTGACTTGGCGCAGGTCGTGCTGATGCTGATTGACTGACAACTGGGGCTGTCGGAAATGGTTT